AAAAAAAAAAAAAAAGAATTGAAAATTAAAAATTAAAAATTAAAAAAAACCAGAAGCTTTTCTTAGTTTATTCTCACTTTTTTACTTAATCGTAAGATTATTTCTATTACAACAGAATATCTAGTCGATACTTTGAAGTTTTTTTTGATGATATATCTATATACTTGAGAAGTATGGAAAATCCATTTATCAAACAGAGGATTGTATCCCACTGTTGTATTGATTGTTTTTTTGAACACCTGGAACCTGAGAATAATATTCACTGACGTCGCTATGAATGGGAGATTTAACTTGTTTTAGAACTTTTTGGATTGGTTGATATTTTGATTTTATCGGTTCAATCAGTATTTTGTCTCTTCTTTTGTCAAGTTTCATCTCCAATAGTGACTTTCAAGTCATCTAGCTATTTAGAGATGACCTAAGCGCCTTCTCCGAGACATCTCCGAATTACCTCCGAGAGATTTCCGAAGCATTTTCGAAACATTGTCAAAACATAAGAAAAATATCTTGCTTCAGTAATACAGGCAAATTTATTTCTTTTTCTATCCTCCCAAATCTTTTCCGAGAGATCTCCAAGGCAATTCCGAATCATTATCAAAACATCGAGCAAACGAATTTCCAGATACTTCAATAATACAAAATTCTCTTCAACCCCCGTCTATCCTTCCGAGTTATCTCCGAGAGATCTCCGAGGCAATTCCGAAGCATTGACAAAACATCGAGCGAAATAATTTCCAAATACTTCAATAATACAAAGTACCCTTCAACCCACATCTATCATCCCGACTCATCTCCGAGAGATTTCCGAGGCGTTTAGCGAGCCACTGCCACATTTATCAAAAGACTTAGTAAAGTTTGCTCCAACTCGTGTCCATTTTGCAAAATTGAGTTTATTTAGTCCTCTGTATCCTAAGAAAGAGTCTTTCCTTTGAAAATTCAAAAGCCTGATGTTCTAAACAAATTTGGACCGAATCTGACGTTGCCATGGTGACTAAATTCCTCACTAGACGGTATTTTAAAAATGTATGATAACGACTGCGTTTGGATATTTTGACTAGCCATGCTGTGCTGTGACGAACACGTACGGTTTGATAAACTTAAAATAAGAAAAATAAATTTTGTAATTTTCTTAACAATTTTTCGCGATGAAATTTTGATACCTCGGGCGAATATTCCTATCTTATTGTATTTCTATTTCCACTTGATTTGCATCTTATCTTAGTCTTGTTTCAATAGTATGATTCCATTCCAATTTCATTGTGTCCTTGCAAAGTCTACTTTGCATTTCGATCTTAACAATATACTCTACAAAATTCTGATTGGACAAAGGGATTACAATTAAATCCCAAATCGTAGAGTCCCAATTAAGTTGCTCAATTTTTTCGAGTGTATTATTAACGAAAAATCGCACAATCTTCTCGTAGAATTCGGAATTTATAGATACTCGTGCTGTTTTAAAGTTCTCAAATTAAACTCGCCTAAAGGCTTGTCCAATTTTGAAACGCTTTCAAAACAGCACTCGTACCTATAAATCCGAATTGTACTCGAGATCGTGCTATTTTCTATGCTAATTGCATTTTCTTTCTATCAGCAAGATCACTACTTTTGAAAACACAGTGCAATTACGTCCTATTTCATCCTGCTAAAAAAAAAWAGTAATTTGCTGTGTATATACACCACTAAAGAGTAGAGTCATTAGCCAGAGTGTATACCATATATTCGTGAAAAACTTCGTCAGAAATTGCACAAATTACTAAGTTCCTAACCCTAAACCCTAACCTCAGTAGGCCATAGACCTACACAACTTTGCACTAATTTATACAATTTTGTTAGTTAACTTTTTCATGGTTTTATGGTATGCAATCTATCTTGTAAAGATTAGAACTACCAAAAATCTAATTCCGATTCCTTCAGAAAACAAGTTTTTACATTGTAAATTTTGTTAAAATATACGGATCTAAAAATCTTCCCAAACCGTTTCAAACACTTTCGGCTACATTTTGCACAATTTCAGCTAAGAGAAAACAAAGAAATAAGAAATAAAATAATGAATGTTAGGAAAACTGATTTTGAATGTTTTATATGGTATATTTTATTTTGTAGGTATATGAAGGTGTATTTGTGTAGTTAGTTTTCTCGCTCAGAATTACAATCGTTAGCTTCAATGATTTTAACTGAATTTTTTTCGCAATATATCTGACATTATATCGTTAACTTCAAAAAACTTTAATGGCAAAGTGAAATTTTTTTCGCACTATGGCTGACACTTAATATATACATATTTCACGCAATTCAATTTTGTAATTACACCTATTGTAAGTATGCCTTCATTTTCTAACGTCATGTTCGAAAATAGGCCACTAATTAACTGGATGTAAAACACTGTACCTCGGCATTTAGCAAGGAATATCTTTTCCCCAGAATGTTGAACCAGTATAAAATTTTTAACTCGAGTTTTGCTTTAATTAGCTCATTTAATATGCCGAGGGGAGGGCGGGCTCTCAATTTGAATTTGAAAACTTTCATGGGTTGTTTTGGGGGGGCGTTGTTAGCTACTTCAAAGGAATCTAAGAATGACTGCCGAAGGTGGTTAAGTCATTTGAGTGAAGGGTGCGGAGTATTTACTGGTGGGGATATATGCGGTTAACCAGGAATAGCTTAGTGGTTTCGCGCCAATCATGACACTCATGTCCTATGGAGAGACATTATAGAGAAAACTAGTTTGGCCTAACTCTAATAGGCTTCATTAGATAAATTAAAACACGTGCTACAGAAAATTGAATAACATTTAAATGGCTTCCCTAAACGATTCGACTCGTGGAGATAATTTGAAACTTCAATCAAGATCTTTATTTTTAGCGCTAATAATAATGATAATAAATAATTGGCTTTCCGAAGGATGCGCCCACGTTTTCAGGGAGGCTTTTCATAAATAAAATTTTATAAAATGCAAAATACAGAATTATATAAGCTAAAAATATTGTTCAAATATTACACTATGAATCCCTATGAATTCCCTTTTTCAATGTCATAAAGAAGGTGAGTTAGAAAGTGGCTGGTATTTGAGGTTAGTAAATTGGATGATTCAGCTATCTCTAGACTACGTAATTGCCCTCCAAGACACTCATCAATAATACAACAACTTCAGGAATAAAGATAAGCTTGTATGAAAAAAATATTAGACGTAATTGTATTCTGCACAAAAAATTCAAGTTGCGGGCAAGCAGAGAAGCAGGAGCGATGACAAAGGTTTGGGTTCTGATATTATATTGATAAGATCGTAAGCGGTAAGTCAGAGATAGTAGATATTTACTCAATAATTGAATGCAACGTTACGACGTGTATTCATAAATTTCTGAGTGCCTATTGCACACAACCCAAACTCCCCCACACTACATAATGCAAATTAGAGCACAAAACAAATTTGTAAATATTTCAGCTGTCCAAGGTCGTGCTTGATTTTCAAACAAACCTCATTCAAACTACAAGGACAAGTCAATCGAAGAAAATCTAGCTTTCATTATTAAATGGGAGCCAATTGGCAGGGATTTCTACCGCAATGGAGGGACACATTCTTATGTTTTTAGGCAAAAGCTTCGCCTCTTTGTAATCATACCACGAAACGACTTGTACACACTTCACTTATAAAGAAGTTGACATTGCTGAGGCGGGTAGGTTAATTTTTTATCAGTTTGTTTTTACATGGTAAAATTTGAGATATTTATTTTGTAGCGGTATTAGAATATCGCGAAGCACAACCAACAGCAAAGGACTTGACATTGTCCATTTCAGATTCTAGAAATATTCTCTAATCGTGTATTTGAAAAGGAGTGTCGTCAGTGAGTATATTTTACCCCGAGGTGTTGTGTAGTCCCAAGACATATTTAAATCTATCCATGCTTCTTTACCAAACTGTACACTTTGAATCATACCACCTGTCGTAAGAGTAGATATTTGCGCTTGTCATAATTCGCCTTTTTTACCCCCTGGTATATCTTGTTACACGCATTTTGATTGAGCGCTTTCAATTATGCTTGTTTTGAAATGCCTTGTTATTACTTAGCAGTCGAATCCTTATCTGTTTTTCGTCTTGTTTTGAGATGCGTTAGTGTGTAGTATAGCAAGTGTTTGTTATTCATAGAGCAATTCTCCCACGCGCCTATATCAACAATAGCTATTTACTCTAACTATTTCGTATAACCTTCCAAATCTGTTCACATTAGTATAATACAAATATTGAAATGTTCAGTCTGTCGCTGCTAGACTAGTCTCATGCCAGGAAGAACTGAAACCCTTGTTATTGTTCATTGGTAATATTACTTGTCCCATGCTAGATTAATTTCAAGCTCCATCAGTAGGATTCTTCTTTGTGTCCGGATTAGGTTTAGTGATTCATACAAGCTTAAGTTAAGGCAGGTTACTTCATTGTAAATGCACCTAGCAAAGGTGTTAACAAGAATATCTATAGTCGCTACTTTTTAAAAAAAACAATTTCAAAGAACAATTCTTGTGCATTGTTTTCAGGATTTAGGGGCGGGAAGATTTTAAGAACCAGCTTACCATAGCTTATACACGGTATGAGAAGTTTTTGCTGAGTACTTGAATTTTCATCGGTTCCACCGATAGACGATGTTTTGACAAGTAATAGCAGGTATTTGGTGAACAAACAATCGAGACATTAATAACAGTTCTGGTCACATGCCTAAAGCTAATTTGCGAAGTACAATTTCAAGACTATTATGACCGACAAGAACATTTTCTAGAAAAGCCTCGAAAATAACAAAAGATACTTTCAGTGTTGCCTGGAGATTGGAAGAAATTTTGCATTGGAAAGTTGAGAAGATTTTGCCGAAAAAGAGCTCGTCCAACGTGAGTAGCTTTTCACAATATCTATAACAAGTTAGTAAATGGGGTATCAAATTCGAAATATTTTAAAATATCTTTCAGTGTTGTCTAGAGATTAGAAGAAATTTTGCATTAGAAAGTTGAGTAAATTTTGCTGACAAAAGAGACGTTCAATGACTTGCGTAGCTTTTCACGATATTTGTAACAAGTAAATAGGGTATCAAATGAAAAAATATCTTTTGAAATCAATTACCGTGACAAATGCTAAACATCTTCAGGACGTTGGTAAATATTCCAGAATATTAAAATTAAAAAAAAAAAATTAGTCCACAACAGTTTGTGAAAGTATCAAAATGAGTACATACTTGAGAATAATTATGATAGCAAATAGAATAATATATTTACATATATTTAAAAGATTTGTTTTGTATTTATCTTGAAATTGTTTTATTTCACATATCTAGTCGGAACTTATATTAGTGATGCAACGTGTACCGGCAGTTTTCTTGTCTGTGGCGTGTACAAATTATTTACTTACCTTTAGAGAAATTTTTGAAATGATAACTAATGTTTAGTTTTAACGTATTCTGATGCACTATTTTTGGTTTTACTTCTTCTAAATTAATTATACAATCGTTCTATATTCTTTCTCAAGTATTTAACGGAAAATACTCTGAGTATCGAATTATTTAACGTGGGAAAATAGTTGGTTTTGTAACTGATTTACTCGCTGCCCACTGTCTAAAAATAGCACTTGAAAAAAAAATCATGAAGGCTACCTGCATTTTAGTTGAATRATTTATTCGTTTTTGAGGTAACTCGCAAAACAAATAAAAAATATCTATGTAAATGGCGCGTTTTCATATGAACTGAGAAGATACATTTTTATTGGGGGGAGGGGGAGG